ACTCAAGGGTGACCAAGGTTAGGCTGCTATCATGAATCTAGGATCCGCCCATCTTATCACAGGTATACCTCTAGTTCCACCCCTTCCTATCATGTGCACACCCCTAGATCATCCCCTTCCTGTTATACCTATGCCCATTGTATATCCCCCCCCCACCTTTTGCTTGTATTGCCTATTGTACAGCCCTTTCCCGTGACGTGTGTGGTTACTTGTAATCATGCTCCCTAAGTAGATATAAGCCTTGGTTTGCAATAAAGTTCCCTCCTGCCAGCTTTCTCCGGCCCACCTAACCTCCCTCTTCTGCCCTCGGCCCACTCTGTGCATGGACCCAGCTGGTGAGATCATGGCCATCCAGGACGTGAGCATGCTACCATGAAATGTGTTTGACTTCTTTATTTTACTCTCTCCTCTCTCTCTCATGCTCTAGGACTTTATTTTATATATATACACACACACACACACACACACACATTATAACTGTACAATAGCGCCTATCGAACCCGCAATTAGTTGTGGAGGGCTGGCCTTTCCCCCCACACCTTTACATCAAAGAAGATACTTTTATAATATAAGATTAATATTGAAAAAGGAGGGTTAAAAATGAGCTGATACCAAGGGCTCAAGTAGAAGAAAATGTATTGGAAAAGTTGATGGCAACTTATGTACAGAAGAGCTTAACACAATGGATATATGTATGAACTGTGATAAGAGCTATAAGAGCCCCCAATAAAATAAAATGAAAAAAAAGAAAGAGGGGGGCTAGGGGCAATCCTTCTCAAAGTGAGCAATACAACCCCCGCTGGGGCACTGGAATAATTCGGGGTAGCTGCAAAAGGAAGCATCTACATTTTATCCTGGATTATGGGCTGTCGCACAAGAGTTCTTAATTGCTAGTGGGGCACTGAGTAAATGTTTTCTGAAAAGGGGATGATGGGCAGAATAAGTTTGGGAGCCCGTGGTTCAGAGGCTTGTTAGTGGTCTTAGAATCAACAGTAATTGATACTTTGGACCTTTAGATAGCATGGGGAAAAAAGTGAAATAATTTAAAGCTAGAAACCTTGAACTACATAGGAAAACATGAGACTGCTAAACAGGGTTGAGAATGCACTTGAAGAGAAAGGTGAAAATGGTCTGTCTGAGTTTTCTCCAGCACATTCAACTGCTTGGGAAATTGATACGTGGGTGTTAATGGCTTAGACTTTTAAAGTCAGGGCAATGGATCAGAAGGAACATGCAAAGCAACCAAGTACTTTGGATCTAAACTGACTAGAAGTATTCTGAGGAACTATGTAGTTGCTATGTAGTGAGAATGTGAATCAAAAATGTGTACAACTTTAGCAAAGAGTGGC